GGACTGGGGAGCGGGTGTGGGTGCAGGGCTGAGGAAGAGGAGGCGGTGGAGGGCATGGGGGAGTGTGGTGGGTGGGTGTGCGTGGAGGGGCACGGCTGCGGGCTGCCTTCCCGGGGCAGGGGTCTCTGCACCAGCTTCTGTGGCTGGAGGGTGGCCCTGTCTTCCTGGCAGCCTTGCAGCCCGCATCTCCCTCCCAAGCAGCCCAGGGCTGATGCTTCTGCCCTGTAGAAAACCCCGAGAAATTGTCTTGGGCTGTGGTGTGTAGCCAGCTGATTTCCCCAGAGTGCCTGGGTGTGCTCTGGCCTGGGAAAAGGCTCAGCTTGTCTAAAATGGCCACCTGCCTTATGACCCACCTCTGGGCTGCTCAGAGCAGCCCCTTGGCCAGCCAGGTCCGCTCCCAAATCCACCGCTCACTCTTATGAGCCCCAGGGACTGAGACAGTGGAACTGGAGGCAGTGAATGTGGCTGCAGCATCTGTGGGGCAGCTCGGGGATGTCGGTGTGCTGAGGTGGAGCAGTGTGGGCCAGGCTGTCTGCACAGATAGGACAGGGCAGGATGTAGCCCACCTTGTATCCCAGCTGAGTGGTCTGGCAGTTAGGAAAAAGTGCTTCTCGGTGAGTCATCTGTGGAATAAACTACTTACATAGGACCCATGCGCACCTTCCAGAGCAGATCTGTGCTCCTGCGTGGGGCAGAGCAGAGCTGGTGGGTCACTAAAGCCAAGATTAGGGTTGTAGGGCTGCCTTCCCCTGTCCCAGCCTCTGCCTGCAAATAGCCAGGAGATTGGGGTGCTGGCTGAAGCCCCCTGCTCTGGTACACGTTTCCTCCCTGCCTTACAAATGGGCCGCCTGCCCCATACAGGTGATGGAGGAGTGGGCTCTGGGCAATTGATATTTGCTGCATTTTCATACCTGTTGCTCGGGAAGTGGAACGGAGTCCTTGAACGCTCGCTCCTCTGTTGCATGGTGTGTGCACTGGAGGGGCTGCTCCAAGGGCACCTGTGTTCCCCCATCCCTCCAGGTAACTTGGCAAGCTGGTACCTGCAAAAACGAGTTTTCCACCTGGGTGCCTTACGTTCAGCAGGCAGGTTTGCTTGCGTTCCGATAGACAGATCTCTTAAACCATGCTTTTTTGCACTCTTTGAGCAGCGTATGTTGTGTTTGTGGACTCACTGGAGGTTGTTCTGATCCCTGCAGGTTGAGACTCTGAACGAGGCCACCTTCCAACGCAGCAATGGCACCCACACTTGCTACTGCCCATCGTCGGCGCTGGTGGATGGCATTCACAGCCATCATTGAGAACCTGCTCTTCTCTGCTGTCCTGCTGGGCTGGGGGTCCCTCCTCATCATGCTGAAAGCAGAAGGGTTTTATTCCTACCTGTGCCATGAGACAGGTAAGGATGCTCTGGAGACTTGCATAAATAAGTTGGTGGTGTGGTTCCTTGTTGTAGGGTGGCGTGGAACTGGCTAGAGTAGGACTGAGCTCCAGGTCAGTCCTGGGATAGAAAAAAGGGGTATGTGCTCTATTCCAAAGCTGATGGCATCCTTCTGATGGTGTTATGTGTGTAGTTGCTGTTGCTTTGCAGAGTGATTGGAAAAGAAGCCTTAAAGATTATATAAAGCTTTGCTGGACAGCCTTTTCCACTTGGCCGTGAGTGGAAACCTTTTGCATAGTGTCTCGGCTGATATCTGCAAGGGAAGGCCTGATGGGTTCCAGAAGGTGATGATTTGTGGGGATGGTGTCCTGAGTTTGTAGGAGGAAACTATAGGCACTCCTTCCTTAGTGGTAGGAAAGAAAAGAGCACGGGTGACAACAGCATTAGGGGAGTCCAGTGCTGCTGTTGAAGAGAAGTTGCAAAAGTAAATGCTCCTGATGTTTTGCTCCTCTGACACCCAGAACGTGCTCAAACCAGGCTGTGTTCTATGGGGGCTTGAGATCCACCTTCTGGCCCAGCCAGAGGAAGCGGTTGTCCATGTTGCAGACACAGCCTTGCAGGGAAGGAGGTAATTTTGTGGTGTGGGCAGAATAACCCTGGGACAAACAACATGTAGGTGGATGTTTAACCCCACTTGGGCACGGAGAGAATTGTGGTCTGGGGAATCCCACAGTGTGGTAGGGTGGACAGCGAGGTTAGAAGGCACCTGAGGGTAAAGGTGTGGTATGGATTTGGAAAGCTGCTTTAGTGACAAGATTTGCATGTGCTCAGAGAAGGGAATAGCAGAGTGAGGAGAGGCAGGAGCTAGGTGTTTGGGCTCTGTGATGGTGCATGAGATGAGAAGGTGGATCAGCCCATTCAGGGCTGGTGGATACCAGGATGGAGGAGGAAACATTAGACAAAGAAAAGGAGTTGGAAACAAGTGCGTGGACCCTCAGTGGGTAATGGTAGGGAATAGTGGGGGAAATCTGAAATGTGGGGAGACAAAGTCCAAGAGAAAAGTGATTGTGAATAGTTGTGATGATACTTTGGTTTTTTTCCTCATCCATGGACTGTTTGTTACAGTCTTCTCTTCTGTGTGCCTGCGGACAGCCGCCTCAGCCTTGTAGAGCCTGGGTTGGGGCACCTGGCAAACGTGCACGTGTTTGAGTCTTCTATCTAGCTTAGTTGCTTAATCTCCATCCTATGCTCTGTTCATAGTGTGATGCTTCCAAGTGTGTCCATGTCACCTGGGTCTCCAGTAGTGCTCCAGATGGCGTGAGGGAGAGTCCTTAGTGGCTGGAGGCAATTTAGGATTTCTGTTCAAGGCTGCTCTGTTCTCACCGAGCCGTGGTGACTTTGTCACAGCACTGTGTAAGAGATCTCGTTAAACCTATCAGGTGGGACTTTCTGCCACTGAGATAAAACTCATGAGACTTGATAGGCAAATGCTGACTGTCTCTGAAAGCAGCCATTTTCCTATCTGCTTCCTGAGATGTGCCCTGCTGACAAGAGCCCTGCTTCACTTGGGGCCCACCTCCTACTCTTTCCTTTGATTGCTTTCAATTCATCTGCCTTTGCCCCAAATCAGTGAGATTCTCCTTGGTTTCCCACCCATGTTTGCCAATCTGTGGTTTGTCTGGCTCTCCCCGTGGGAGTGCCCATGCCACAGACCTCTGGGAAGATGCAAATGTTTGGACAGTGGTGAAATTGCTGTCCTGGGGGCAAATTCTTCCTCCCAGTGACCTGTGCCCTGAGGCAGAGAACTTAATCCCTGAAAATAAATTTATGTAGTCAAATCGTCTCATTGTCCTCAAATATCTGGCCATCGCTGCTGAACTCAGTGATTGCTTGTGATGAGCATCAAGGACCAGTTTCTCCGGTTTCCTTCTTCATCCATGCTTACTCATTTTCCTTTTTTCTGTTTTTTGGCCTCGCTGTAATAATCTCAGCCATTTGGTGGGGAAGAGTCCTAGCCCCAAGTGTGGGGAGAGCAGACTCCCTCGCAGCTGCCCTGCAGTGGTCACTGAATGGCTGGTACTGAGCTGAGTTTGACCTCTGGCCCAGTGGTTGCCTTTCTCAGCATAACCTATTGAATCTTACAGCCTGAGTGGGTACTTGGCTGGAAGGTTGGTGCAAACAAATTGTAACTAATAGCTTTGGGGCACTTGTTGTTCCTAATGCTGCTGTGTGCATGTAAGTATTGCGGGGGAAAAAAAAAAAAAAAAAAAAAAGACTTTTCCTAATGAGCCAAAGGTTCTTTGCAGGGCTTTGCATTTGTCAGCAAAAGCTCTTGCACTTTGTGATGCCTTCCAACAAAAGAGAAAACTAGACCTTGTCCTTTCTGCAGACTCTTCTCTGAAGGTAGCAGCAGCTGCCCAGAAAATGACTGCAATTCATTAAGTGCTCCTTGTCTTCCTGCGGAATCCCCCCTCTTTCCCTGCCTGCCCTTGGCTTCTGGGATTTTACTCTTCCACCATGCAAACATGTGGAGTCTGCCAGACTCTGAACTCAGTTGTGTGACAGTGGATGGGCACCTAGGAAAAAAATCCACTTCAGAACAAATACTTTTAAAGCAGTTGTGCAACAGGGTTTGAGTGGGGGGTTGTACCCATCCTGAGCAGCAGGTTTGGCCACATCCTGAGAGGTATGTTTGAAATGTGCTGACAAGGAGCCTGGTAGTGGCACTTTGTTCCCATTTTAATTTTACTACACTACTACTTGGCCTTTAACCAACTGAAGCAGCATCTTTTATTTGGCGTAAATGCTGATTTTGCAGTTTTTATCAAGGATTTGGGCCATATCAGCTGTTGGGGAACTTGATCTGTTCAGGGTCTTGTGTTGCTGCAATATTACTGGGATTGTGAAGCTCAAGACTTGGGTCTGAGATGTTTTAAAAAAAAAAAATCTTGACTTTGGTAATCTGTTCACAAAGAGCAGAGTTAAGGAGCCAGTTGGACAGAGAGCCTTCCTCTAAAACAGGGCTGCAGAAAACCAAATGGACAATAAGCTAATTCACTTAGGGCAGGTTAATGTGCCTTAACACGGGCATAGTAGGAAGGTGCTGCCTTACAGCTCTCTGCTCCAATTTATTTGGGGTCTGTGGTGAGAAACTTGCAGTCTGAAGGTCCCTTCTAAAGCTGGTAAGATGTGATGATGGCTTGTGGAAAGGCTGCACACGTGACCCTGTAAACAGGAAAAGAGTAAATGTGGTAAATGTTCATTTTCTACAGGAAGCACGCTGTGTTGATTAGCAGCTGTCGGTGGTATCAGAGAGCTGCTTTGGGAAGGTGCTGGCGCTGGGTAAGAATTGCTGCAAAATGAAACTTCAGCTGGGAGGAGAATGGAAGTTTAACTGGAGTCTGTGCCTCAGATGAGGCTTTCAGCTGGGTGCCTAGAGGGGAGGTCCTGAAGTGCAAGTGGATGGACAGGCAGGGAGGGAAACCCGAATAAACTGCATTTGCAGTGGTATAAAGCAAGAACATCTCCTCCCAGTTCCCAGAAGTATGACACCATCCCGAAAGGAGAAAACATGTTCTTATGTGGGCAGACTGCAGAGATCAGTTGTTTGCACATGTCTTTCACTGTGATTTTTTTTTTTTTTTTTTCCCCAATGCTCGCAGACTCTTTGGCCCTGATTTCTCTGTCTTTTTTTTTTTTTTCTGCCCCCTCTCTTTTTCTTTTTTCTTTTCAAAAAAAAAAAAAGTGAGGCTGTGCAGTCTGTGTCCCACAGAGCTATCACCAGGGTGGCTGGGGGTGTCTTGCCTGCTTGGCTCAGTCTGATCCATGAAACAAGATGAAAGGAAACCTCTGCTGTCTGAGATGGCAGCCACTCTTGAAAAAGCCAGACTCATTCCTCTGGTAACGTGGTGTGTGCCTGGGATTTGAAGAGGTCAGCAAAGAGTAGTTAATGATTGACCCTCTCATGAAACCTACAGCACTTAATTTGGGAGAAAGGATGACTTTAAATGTTCCAGTAACAGTCTGAACAAATCCCAGTGATGAGCTTGACATAAATGATTACCAAGGCAGCCTTCCTCTCACCTAAGCTGTCATGCTTTAAATAGTAACTTGAACTACTAATTGGGCAGTAGAAATCCTGCTGCTTGTAGGGGAAGTGCTGTAAAAATAGGCAGTATGTTCTTGTAATTGCTGATAAAGACTTGCAGCTTCTAGCTTGACAGCGAGGCAGCGGTGAGCGTACATGGGCTGAGCCTGTGCTCCTGGCTTATGCGGGTGGCACTCCTGCGTGTCAGACCTGGCATGCTTGCCATGCAGGTGGACTTGGCAGGAGAATTTGGGGAGGGCACCACTGTCGGCACAGAGATAGCCCTTCCCCAAAGCACTGTTGTAGATGGAGCCAGGCACGTAGGAGACTTTCCCCAGCAGCGTGGTGTGTACTGATCTGGAACAGGATCTGAGCTGGGAAACTGGTGTTTGCTGTAACCAGGTGCATTAGGTAGGTGAGTCGTTAGGCAGGTTTTCTGCCCATTAATCTCCTCCTAGCCACATGTCATATGCTGCCACTCGCTCTCCGGTGCTGGTGACCTGCTGGCATGTTAATCTGTGCTCCCCAGTGAGACAGCTCTTGGCTGGACCTTGTGCATGCTGCACGCACCTGCAGCCCCTCCAAAATGTTCTATTTATGGAGGTGACTCAAAGGATCGGAGGATGTCAGGGTGCCAGGGGGTGCTTGAATCATTTCCATTATGCCTCAGTGGATCTTCTCTTGTTGCTCAGAGGCTGATTCTATTTTCACAAACAATTTGTATTTCCACATAGCACTGTTGCCTGGCTCCTCCTTGGAGCTGGTGATAGAGCAGCTGTAAACAAGGTGACTGGTACAAGCAGGGAGTGAAGTTTGGTGCCCTATTCCCAATCTTCCTTCAGAGAGGGACAAGTTTCCTTGATGTTTGAGCTGTGTCCTTATCACCTCCTGGTGGTGTTGCTCATAGTGCGTGCCATCGGAGGGTCTGCTAGCAGGCCTGTGCTGTGGGAGCTCCTTGGGGTCATGCTGCAAATGTACATGTCTATATTAACAGTAATTTGTCTACTCTGGCTTTAAATGGTGAATATATCTGTTTTGAGATCTCTTTGTGGGGAGGGTTGACAGGCTCTTTACCACGTGCAGCCAGCAGTTACAAGGTCACCGCACTGTGCACATCCCTCCACCCTTCCACTCCCCAGCTGAGCTATCTCTGTAGAGTGCTGACACAGCGAAACTGCTACTACTTTGTCACTATTTTTTTTTCACACCCCCATTCCCCCCCCACCCCCCTTTGTTTTCCCAAGTTTAACCTCTCACCCACATCTGTTTCCTATGAATTTATCTTTGTGGAGAGCCCAAAAAGCCTTGATGCTGTGGATGAAGCTGTGTGCCTGTGCCTGCCTCATGGAGATGCTGTCAGTGTTTTAAGATTCTGGGCTACACCGGGAGGAGATTATGTGGGAAAGATGGATGAAAGAGATTGAGATGTAGTGTGAAAACTGCAGAGAGCCTCCCAAGTTTGTCCAGGACTGATTTCTAAGAATGTGACTTGGGAGCCTCAGGCTGGATTGCTGCCCTCCCTGCAAAAGGCATGCTGATGGGACATGTGGTCTTTTGGGGATATCTCTTGTTGCTTACCCTGGCTACCCATGACTAGCAGGGCAAGAGAAGGGACAGATTAAGTTGTCAATCAGGAGCACGTGTCAAAGGGGAGGAACAAATAGTCATCACTGTCCACAGACAGTTTGAGACCATATTAAAGGTGTTGGTGAGAGCAATGTAAATGGAGAGAAATACTGTGGGCCTTCCTTGAGTGCTGGGTGGGGACAGAAGAGAGTTTGTGGGCAGCTCATAAACCTCAGCTATCAGCACCTGAATTCCTGCTAATCCCCAATGTCTGGAAGGTGGAGCATGATTTGTTTGCAATGGACACAAAGCTGGAAGGGTTGTTTTGGCCAGTTAGGAGAACCAGGGCGAAACCAGTAACTGTAATGGTGCTGAGGCCTGGGTAGAAGGGAAAGGAGTTGCAAGATGGGGCAGCGTGATCTCTGGTGACACAGGGAGGGTGAGATCAGCCAAGGGGATCTCCTCCACGAGTCGCACCAAGCAGTGAACGTGAAGTCACTTGTACGTGAGGGATTCCTGCTAATTAACTAACTAACCAGGGCTTGCTGAGAATCTCTAGTCTTGCTTCACACGGATGGTTATGTAGGTGACTTCTCTCTATTCCTCCTTTAATACTGAACTCTGTTAGATCAATTATTAAATATGGAGGAGAGGGTTTTATGTCACTGGCTTGCAGCAGCAGTTAGAAAGCAAGTGCTTTGTCATACCAGCAAAGGTTACTTATAAGTCAGATAAGCATTGGGAGGAGAGGTGGAGTGCACTAGAGCTCTGGGTTAATGAAAGTCTAAAGGCACACATGCTTGAGGAGCTGTAAGCCACCTTGGGATGGGCTTGTCAAAGGAGCAGAGTTGACACAAAACAGTAAAACTGCTGCTGCAAAGAAAAGGGAACTTTTTTGTTTGTTTGTTTTTTCCCCCAAACTGTTCTGTTTCTGTCTCTTATACAACGTGGGTTCTGTTCAGCATGGGAGTTCGCATGCAGAGTTCCTCATGTAAGGGCAAGAACTGAAAGCTGGAGATAGAATTGATCTGTATGGCCTAAGCCCAGTTGGAAAGAATAGAAAATGCTAATTATGGGGCAGAAGTTAAAGATGCATCAATCCTTCAACAAATGGAGAAATCAGATGAGCTGCCAGCTCTCCTAGGAACAAGGGAGTTAAATCCAGGATGGATTTTTCAGAGCCAGGGCAGTCAGGAAGCAGGGTGGCTACTGCAAAGCCATTCCTCATCCCGATGCTCACAGTGAGGGTAGGAAGCTTTTTGTTTAAGCAGGCTGTTGCTCTGTGCCAGGTTTTGTCAGCCCAGTGTCTGAACCCAAAATAACTGATTTGGCTGTAGTTATTGCTTCCAGTTTAGGGAAGAGATCTGTGAGAAACTGCCAGTTGTTGTTTAGGAAGATCTTATTTTTGTATTAGTCCCTTCAGGTTCTGCTGAGTTTAGTCCCCTGTAGTTGCCAGGGCCTTGCTGTATAGTTGTTTTCATAAATTAATGAATCTCTGTCCTTAGGTTGTTACCATGCCGCTGCTTGGGATGCTTGCCCCCTGGGTGCTTGCGCATCCTCTTTCTGCTCCCAGCTGAGCTCATCAGGTTTCCCTTCTGCTGCTCTTCTTTCCTTTCTCCATTCCTCATGGATTATAACAAAAAATCGAGTGTGGAGGGCGTGTGCCCAGTGCATGGTGGCACCCTGCGTGCAGGGCTTTTCTCTTCCCTCCTTCCTGCAATGCTGCAAGCCTCATCCTAACAGACTGCAATGATGATCCTCTATCATCCCGTGTAGGAAACACCACCAGCAGCCCGGAACACGAGAACAGCACAGCTTCAGAGGACAAATGGCCCTCCTGCAATGCCCAGGATGAAATGCTGAACTTGGCCTTCACCATTGGGTCCTTCTTGCTCAGTGCAATCACGCTCCCCCTGGGAATTGTCATGGACAAGTACGGTCCCCGCAAGCTGCGACTGCTTGGCAGGTTGGTGTCCTGGGCTCTCCAGTTGGGCTGAGGGGTGCATTCATGCCTTGTCTGGGGCAGATGGGTGCTGGGCCTGTTGTGGGGTCCCTGCAGCCTTGAGAACTGTCTGAGGGATGGGGCTGGGAGCTGCTGGCCATGCACAGGCCTCACTGGAGCAGCTCTGGGATGATTTCGGCCAGCACAATGAATTGTTCCATAAGTGAAGGGCCTGGGACTCCATGTCCACACACTTGAGTTCTCCAGTGTTGCTCTGCTCCCTGGCCAGATGGAGCCTGGAGGAAGAGTGGAGTCATTTGTGAGTCACGGAGGGTAGCTTTTTCCTTGAGCTGGGAGCTATGTCCTGAGAGGCACAAACCCAAAATGTTACATCATCGTTTGCAAGCTGGAGAGTTAAGTTGGGGATAAACACATCCTGCCTGCCTTTTCTAGGGCCCTTCTCTGCCATGTGGTGTATGTTGCTTTCTGCCTCAGATAGCAAGGTCGTTAATTGCTTCCATCGCATGTAGGGATTAGTGACTTGTTGGGCACAGTGGACCCCGGTACTGCTGAATTTTAATGCACTGAATAATACCAGAAACCAAACGGACCTGTAGGCAGAGTGGGAAAAACAGGGCAAGTCTCTGACTCAGACCCTGCCAGAGAGGAGCAGGTAAAGACTGTGAGTGATGTGACCACAGCTGGGTCTCGGGACGAAGGTTGCTGCTGTCTTTGGTCACCTCGAGGTGAGGGTTGGCTAAGCTCTGTGCTGGAAAACCAGCAGGGAATTTGAATCCAGCAAGAGCTGCATCACTACTGGGAGGAAAGGTTGCTGCCTCAGGCCTTGTGCAAGTCTTGTCTGTAATACTTGGGTATTTCCCAGCATTAATTTTTTTTCCAAATCACCAGTTTCCCTCCCTCTTACAAAAATTATATTGTGCTTGCTTAACAAAGTGCTGAGGAGGTAGAAACATCTGTAATTTACTGTGTGTAAGTGCGTCTGTAAGGAACTCGTGGTTTTGGTTCCCTTTCAGCGCCTGCTTTGCTGTGTCCTGTGTGCTGATCGCGTATGGTGCCAGTAACCCAGACTGTGAGTATGCATTTCACTGCTGAGCTGGGAGGGCTTTGGGGCTGTGGCTTGCATTTTTTTGGGGAAGCAGGCAAGTGTGCATGGCACTTTGTGCTTTGTCTGTCACACCTCCAGACTGTCGCACGTCCAGCGCTGTGCTGGGGTCTTGCTGAGGACACAAGCCAGGCATCTGCTGGCCCGTGGGAGCAAAGTGGCTCTGGGGAGAGCTGGTGTTTCACAACCCTAAGTGGAGAGAGTTGCAAGGGCCAAACATCTGAGATAGTCAGGTCTTTCAGCTTTGCATTTGGGCAGGGCCAGGTCCTGTAAAGGAGCAGTTCCAAACAAGTTCATGGCTTTTTCAGGGTTGGGAAAGAGGTAATAGCACACAAGGTGTAATCAGTTTTCTCACCAGGGGTAGAGGGAGCATGGTCCTCAAGACTAGATAGTGAGATGACACTTTGAATCCAGTTCTTTCAAGTAAATCTTTTCTTTTAAGGCTCATTCAGACAAGCTGCATCAGCAAGTTAGTTCATTAGAGAAAAGAAATGTTTCCATCCTGAATTCTGACTTGGAGGAGACCTTGTCCCTCCTCCTCTGTGGCTGGGGGGAGATGGGTGGTAGGTCAGGAACAGCATGTCATGTCCTGAGGGTGTTGATTCACTGAGGTTTTTAGTATCAGGACCAAAGCCCTCAGGATTTGGGTCTCCTTTCCTTCTCCACCCCAGTAAAAACTAAGAGTGTTTTTTTTTTATTGCAGCTTTGTCTGTGCTGATATTCATTGCGCTGGCTCTAAATGGCTTTGGTGGGATGTGCATGACCTTCACATCGCTTACGGTAAGTGAAGAGTTATTACCCAACTCTATTTTATTCCTTACTGTGACCATGAGCTGGGCTAGCAGGCAAGAACAAAGTGGATCTTTTGCCTGTGGCATGAATAGCACCTGGTTTTCTGTTGGTACAAAGGGTCACTCACTTTTGCCTGAAAGGCTGAATACTAGGTGGTTATTCTAAGGCTTTTTTTTTTTCCCCTGCCCCTTGTACCTCAAGTGAAGGTGGGGGGGAAAAAAAGGAAGTGTTTTTGTCTAGAACTCAAACTGTCTGTATATGCAGTGCTCAGCTACCTGGCACAGGCTGGACATGTGCTTGCACTGGATTTAGCACTGACGTACTGCGGGAAGAATCAGCAGGGTGCAAACCCTTGCAGCTGCATGTGACCAGCTTTCTGCAAGTGTGTTTTTTATCTTGCCCCAAGAAAACAGCTGTTGTTGAGCACAAAAACTTTTGTGCTCAGAAGGGTGAGAGTCCCTTCCAGGCTCCCTTAGAAATGCTGTGCTGTTGGATGTACCCAGCTCCATCTGCGCAGCCCACTTCGATCTGTTTAGTCTGTGGATTGTATTGCAAGCATTTGTCAACAACCGTCAGCTGGATCTCTACATTTTGGGGTTCTTTTTGCCTGGAGACAGAAGCAATATCGTCCTCCAAGTAGTTGCTTTATTTTCTACCTCATTACCCTGATCCCATTGTCAGTATGGCTGAAACAGGGCTGGGTGGAAAGTCTCCCAGAAAACAGTCTGGGAAGCACTGATGTTTCTTGAGCTGTGGTTGAAAACTGCAGATTTGGACTGCGTTAACTTGCTGTTGAAGTAAAACTTTCTGTTAAGGTTACCTCTGATTTAACAAGGCTTAGATGCTGGCTGAACAAGGCTCAGGCACTGGCTGAACTCCTTGAGACCTAAATTTGGCAGAGGCTGGGTTTACAGATCACTGTGTACTGTGATGTTGCTGCTGCTGTTGCTTTCATACATTTAAAACTTTTAGAAGTCTGTGCAGATGTCGGTCTCTCTTTTGTATGTAGTGTTCTTCACTGGAAGCCTTGGCCATGGTCCCAAAGAACTATGGGGCAAATGTCATTCTGCCACGCTTCAAATAAAAGCAAGGAAGAAGAGAGGAGCACGTCAGTGCTGCTATGGGAGAGGATTCCCATCCTGCTGCTGCCAGCATTGGTTATTGTCTCTCTGGGTGGTTATTAAGGGGTCACAGATTGTTTTAGAGCCACTGGTGATGACAGAAGTGAGGGCAAGGATAGGGCAGAAATATATCAGATGTGCTGTACTGTGACTTTTAGCACCAGTAGCAGTAAGCAAAGCCACTTATTACGCCCTCATTAGTGAGCCAGTTCCTCAGCACTAAGGAAGTACAGTAGCAGAAAAAGGTCAAGTCTTCCAAGAAGAGATCCAAGCCTTGAGGAGGTTTGAAGCAAGTAGTGATGCTGTGAGTTCACACAGGGAGACCTCAGGTGGAGCTTATCCCCTCCTGACAGCAGCATGTTTTGTAGAGAGCTGAGGTGACTCCAGGCCTACCTTCTCAATTCCAGATTCAGATGTAGCTGCTCATGCCTCCCTGCAGAGATGCACAGAGGCATTTTGGTACCTGAGGCATGTGAATGTGATTAAAAATAATCTGTAGCAGAAGGGAAGCTCTTCTTCACCTGCATCGCAGCGTTGCTGTGGTGGTGACTGTTAAAAGCAGGTGTATTTTGCTCATTGGTGGCTTACTGTTTTGTCCCTGCGTGGTTCTGCCCGTGAGCTGGGGTGCTCGCAGCTGTGTCAGGAGCCATCTTCTGTGGTGACATGGTGATCTCTTGTGGGTCCCTTCCACCTGTGGCCCATGGAGACAGGATGACAGGTCCATGGCTTGCGGGCTCTGCGCAATGTGGCTTGCACGTGCTGCGCTATGTTGTGCCCGGGAGAGGCTGAAGTAAGTGCTGAAAGGGGAGACTGGAAGACCTTTTTAAAGACTTTCATTACACAGAGGCAGCGAACACTAATCAACTTGTGGTGCCAAGTAAGCTTGTTCTGGCTGACACAGGCACTGGCTGCTTAGCACACACGTGCACGTACAAGTCAAAGCAAGGTGACTTCCTTCTGCTGCCAGCTGCAAGTGACCTGAAGCGCTCCAGGAAATGGGTCGAACCCGCTGGTGCATGAGCTGCTCCTCTGCCACCCCAGGCGGGTTACAGCTGCTGCTTTGTAGCAGGGTGGCCGTGAAGGGAGGCCCAGAGGCGTGTGGGGTTGTGATGCTGCAGCATGTGGGGCTTCCTCAGGTGTTGGGACACCTGCATGCGTGCGTGGGCACAGTATGATCTGATGGCAGGGCAGGAGATGGGATCCTCAGTGCTTGTGCAAGGGGTGAACTGGATCTCTGAGGATTACAGCCTGGGACAGTATTCCACGCAGCTTTGCCTCTTGGGTTTAAAGCCTTTTTCAGTAACAAGTCCCCAGGGTATCATGAAAGCACATGGCAAGCTGCAGAGCCAAAGCAAGCTGCCGTTGCTGGGTGTCTTGCATTGTGGCTTGGGGAGGAGGGGGAGTGAGCGAGCGGGGCTGTTCCCAGTTCTGGGAACAAGGTCAGACTGTGCCTGTTGTTAAAATGCAGAGGGGAGATTTCTGCCTCGTGACTCGCTCTTGGCCAATATAAGTGAAGATTGGAAATGGAAACAGATCTGTGTTGGTGGCTCTGACAGCAACACAGGAATCTGGCGCTGGTTCTGCTCTGAAGCTATTTCATGCAAAGAAATAAACATGTGTGATAAATTACCACAAAGAGCCTTTTATAGATTGTTTTCTGTCCTGTTTTCCTTTCAAAGAATTACAGCTGTTTTGCTCTTATTTTCTGCTACAAAGTGTCCTTTAATTGGGGGAGAGGGAGGCCATCTCTGTGTAGGGGATCTTCTCTGCTTGGAAATATTAGTAAAACTTGGGGTTCTGTGTTCTTTGTTTGCTGGAGAATGGGAACAGGAGTTTCCATATGCTTTGGACAAAGTGGGCAGTTTGAGGCTTTCTTGGAGAATGTATTTTTAGTGTCTGTATAACTTCCAAATATACCCCTGATAGGGAAAACAGTTTTGCTTGAACAAAAATACCATTCTCCAGTAGCCTAGTTCTCAATCCCTTGACTTTTTGCACTGTTCTTTCAAATGGTCCTTGCAAGAGGAGGGAAGCTGGGTTTAGTAATACTGCTGTGGTACCTTTTGTATATGGGTTGCCTCCAGGAAAAAGATAAAAAATATAGAAAATGATCGAAGGTCTTAAACTTACTATAGGGCAGATGAGAAAGTAATCTGCAAGAGGAAATTTTATCAGTTTAGGATTGCATGCCTGTAATAAAGGACTCCAGGAAAAAGTTATGGTACAGCAAAATTAAGTTGGTATCTTTCAGATGGAGCATAAAATTAATAATACATTGAGTATTACTGACCTTTAAACAGAAGGCGTAAGAGTTTCTGTCATTATGTCTTGAGTGATTGGGGCTGTCATACCAGAATGGGCAGAAGTTAGTGGAGGAGTCCCCTCTGGCCTGCAGGGATAAGATCAGAATGAGGAGCAGAGCTTTTTGATGGCAGGAAAACAAAGAGCCCACTTGCTCTGTGGCTGTGGTTTTTTTGTTTTTTTCTTCTCACTATGGTTCATTTTTTCCAATGCTTGCTGCTATAAAGACAGCATGAAAAATGGCTTAATAACTATTGTGTGTTATTTTAGTAGCTGGTCTTTAGATGAGACCTGCACAGGCATTGCCAGTGCTGGCACTTGCAGTCTCAGAAGTTTTCTGTCTGGGTATGAATTACTTTTTCCCTGCCTTCCCTCTGCCTCTCCAGGTAGTCTCATATTTATTTTCCTCCCAGGTGCTCAGTGTTAGCAGTTTTTGCTTTGGGTTGGATAAAACCTTAAATCTCCTATGTCCAATTTTTTTTTTAATCTGGCTGGTGTCAAATAGGATTTTAGGAAATCTGTAGCCTTTCTAGGACTTCTGTCCCTATTGCAGTAGCAGCAAACTTGGGTTTTCCTGGACACGGCTGCTTGCTTTCAGGCCTGCTCTATGTCTCCAGTAGCCCTCAAGAGCAGGAGGATCCACCTGGGAGTTGCTTGTCTGCTCTATGAAAAAGGCTTTTTGTCATCTCTGGGGCTCTGGGGAAAACCGGCCTGAGCCGAGAAGCAGCTGTGTTTGTGGAGCTCTTGCCCTGCTCTGTGCTCCCCAGCAGGAGCAGCTGTTTGCTGTAATTTCTGAAGATTATTTTAGATTTGGGGTATTTGAGATGAAATCAGTGCCCTGCCTGGTGACTGTGACTAGCCTTTTTGCACCCTGCAGACACTGTATTCTGCAGATGCTGTTTTCTGGGGTGTGTATTTAGGCCACTGCTTCCAAGAAGAGATTTTTTTGCGCCTGGTAACAGACCTTTGGATCCTTTGCCGTTTCCTGTCTGCAGCTCCTGAAAGCAGCCTGCTGGCAGCTCTCCCGCATGCAGGGATCTGGGGATGGGTGTGGGGATCCTCGCTGCAGAGGAGCGCAGCATTTTCTGCCTCTGCCGTGCATGTCTGCTCGGGGTTCACCAGCAGCGTCAGGCTGGGCACATCATCGCTGCAGTTCCTGGGCTGGGGTTATCTGAGGACCTGGAGACCGCACTGCCTAGGAAGCTCTGCAGTGAGACAGAGGATGATAAACAGCCAGATGGATCCTAGAGTGTTCCTGCACAGGAATACTTGTGTTATAAACACGCTGGTCCTGCTGTGACACAAGCCAGGTTTGCTTGCCTTATATGCTACTCCTGGGAAAGATGGATTTGTTTTTCAGCAGTGGAAGGGGAATGTGATGACAGCATTTGCTTGCTCAGGCTCGGTCTAATATTTTCTGAATCATGTTGTTCAGCAGCATCTTTAAGTAGGTAAAATGCTGGTTATGCTTTCAGTCCTAGAAGGCACCTGCAGTGTCCTCCTTTGAGGCCCTCTGAGGCTGACGTGGTAGTGATGCCCAAGTGAATCTGGGGAGTAAGTGACCCAAAAAAGGGGGTGAGAGGGAAATCTGTCTGCCTGCAGCACAATCTCTGCCTGTTGACCAGCTTCAGGAGATACTGGCTGAGCTCTCTGTAGCCTACAACTTCAAAGCTTTTCTCTGTAATTTCCAGTTTGCAGGCCAACATTAGTTAGTGATGGAAACTTCCTTATTTTGGCTGTTTAGAAAAATGGAGTTCCTCTTTTCCCAGGAGAGTGGGAAGGTCTCACAGCTCTTTCTGCCTGCACCACTCTGCTTTTGGGTCCTGAGCAGAAGCAGGGGCTGGAGAGCCAGCCTGGGAGTGCTTCTGCTGTTGAGGTGGCAGAAGAGGCTGCTGTGAGTTGCTTCTTGCTGTCCTTGCTGAGAGCTTTGCTTTCCCAACAGATCCTTGCAGAACCAGCCTGGTCTGCTCTCAGCCATGCCATCACACCCGATAGGAGCCCAGGCACCAAAGTGGGGTGGGTGGCACGGATAGCAACATGAGGTGCTGTTGGCCGCTTCTTTGGCCGCTTCTTGCTGCGGAGTTCAGCAGCTTTATAGCCGCACCAGACAGTAAAGCTGTGGATATCTAGTGTTTGCAATTGCCTTCCTGCTCTGGGCTCCAAGCTAGTGTGCTTGGGCATCCGAACCATCCATCCAGCTGATGGAAACATGACCAGCTTTAGCCCCCCTGGTAGAGAGAGTCTGCTTTCACAGAAGGAGCCACGGACCGAGCTAGAAGTGGAAATGCAAACAGCAACACAGTCTCTCTTCTTGTTATAACACAAAGTTTCTGCTCTACTGCACAGATTTGTTTATGCACCTTGGGTCTGCACCCAAACCTGGCAGTTCAAGGTGTTGCAGGGTGTTAAAGAGGTGCAGCTGTCACAGCCTGTGTCTTAACAACTCTTGACTGAAAAGAGGGCAATATGCGGAGAATGTGGGCACGTATTTTTTTGGAGAGGAAAGGAGGTGGTGGCTACAGACTTGGTGTAAAGAATTCTTGAGGAAATCACAAGGGCTGGAGCAAGCACTCCCATGCTAAAGGTAACCAATGCAAAGTATGCTGTCAGTCAGTAGTGTAACTAAGCATATAAATCTTGAACTGTAGATAATCCCTGACACTGGAAACATCAATGCAACCTGCAGAGCAATATCCTAAAGAGCTAAGTCATTCTTGAGTAAAACTGGCTGCTTCAGATTCTGCTATCCAGGAGTCTTAATCCTAAATGCCAGTATCTTCAGAAGAAAGCCTTCTTCCCTTTTCTTCCTTTCCCTTGGCAGCAGCCTTTTTCAGCCAATTTTTCTTTCCCCAGCTGCCCAACATGTTTGGTGACCTTCGTTCCACGTTCATTGCTCTGATGATTGGCTCCTATGCTTCCTCTGCTGTGACTTTTCCAGGAATCAAGGTGAGGTTGTGGGATCATGACTCATGACTGGTGGTGTTGTGCTGGAGTCTTGCACCATTTGGCAATAATGTGGAAAGAGGGATTATTTGTTAAATCACTCTTCTAAGGATGTGCCTTTGCAAGACTCAAGTTCCTGTCAAAGGCTTTCCAAGTGACTGCCTCCAGAACTCAACAAATATTACGAAGCAAACAGACTGCTCTAATAGATAGTAAAATTTTAAAGGTGTTAAGTAAAAGTTAAGAAGGGGAGATTTTTTTTTAATGAAAGGTTGCTTTTTTTAAACTCTAAAGAGTATATATATGTATTTTAATGCATATTAAACACATTACATATTTAACAAAATACGTAAAATTGCATATTAAAAAATTAGATATTTAACACATGTTTAATGTGTGCGATTGTCATGGGTAGCTGGCTTTGAACACAATTCAGAGCTACCAAATGGCACTGAAGGGACAGATGAGATGGTCGCTGGGGCTGCCTTGGTAGATCACTTAGTGACTCTGAACCAGAGATGTTTTGTTGCAGAGTTAGCATAAGGGAGATATAATAAAAATAAGCCAGTCTCAAGTGTGCAGGGAAGTTCCTACTGTCTTTCCAAGGAGAAGGTCCTAGATGAAAACCTTTGGCAGTTATCTGCAATACAGCTGCATGCTCTTCCCGCTGGAGGTCCTGTTGTTGTTGCTGTAGCTGCTGTTAAAGATGTATACATCTCTTTCTAAGCATGCATGACATAAAACTGCTTTTTGTTACCACTTGAGTTAAACCCATTTTAAATGTAGCATGTTGTTCTTTCTCACAGCTTCCTCTCAGACCTCATTCAAAGGGTATTGAAGTATCTTGCTGCTCTGATAGCGAAAAACATATTCCCTTGTGATTTCCAGGTTATATATGACTTTGGGGTCTCCTTCATCCTTATTCTGCTTGTCTGGGCAAGCTGTGCAGGACTAGTTTTCCTCAACTGTTTCTTCAACTGGCCACTGGAGCCCTTCCCAGGACCGGAAGACATGGACTATTCGTAAGTGTCCTCTAGTCTGGCCTTGAGGGCTAATCCCATTCTTAATCCTCTAGAAAGCGCTGGCATAACTAGTTTAGAGGAGTGGACAGGGAACTCCCTTGCATGTTGTTTATTGCTGCCACTTCTTAAGTTGAGGATTTATGCCTGCCCATTAGTGTTATGTCTTGACTGGTGTATATCTGTGGAAAGTGGAACTTTCCAAAGCATAGGAATTATGCAGGAAAAATGATCTGTCAGTAGTCATAAGTATTTCTGTATTGACCTAGATACTAGGTTGGCCTGGAGGAAGTATCTCTCTGCTCTGGATGCAGACTGTGGATTTGTAGATGGAAACTAGTGCCCTAAATCCACACATAGCCTTTCTGACTCCTGCAACTTTGCTGCCTCTGATTCCTCACCCTGTGTTGCAGCTGTCTTGCTCTTTACTGCCCAACAGGGTGAAAATAAAGTTCAGCTGGCTGGGATTTGACCACAAAATCACTGGGAAACAGTTTTACAAGCAAGTAACGACTGTGGGGCGCCGTCTCAGTGTGGGGAGCTCCATGAAGGGCCCCAAGGAGCCAGCAGCCTTGCAAGAGAACAACAAGCTCTGTCTGTCTACGGTGGACTTAGAAGTGAAGTGCCAGCCTGACAATGCAGGTGTGGTTCCATGAGTGCCCCAGGGGTGCTTGTGCCAGCACAAGGCTGTTGGCCTCTCTGCTCCACTCCAGATCTGTTTGTTATAAAACAGGTGGTACACCATCCATATGTTGCCAGGGCCATGTGCCAGCCACCATTATTTAAATACAAGTTCAGTTATATAAGGAATCCTGTCCTTGTATACTTGCCTAAAGACACCATATGGTGTTGTCAGTTGTGGGGACAACATGGGTGAGTGGTGGGGCTGCAGAAGGACAGTGCAGTTGGTCACTGCTGTCTCTTAAGCAGACTGTTGCCGTCATGACTAAGCCTTCCTTACTCAGTGGTATGGCAAAAGCAAACAGTTTGAAGCTTTGCTTTGCTCTAATCCATAGATTTAGGTGAGTCTTCCTCCTCCTTCCTTGCCCCAGTTACTGGGAGCCAAACTCCAAGCATCTATAGCTGTTCATTATGGAAGTCTGTAAGGCACCAGGTAGTTGTGAAATGTGAACTCCTTAGAGCTGCCACTGGCACACTATTGGAATCACTAGCTAGGAGAAGATGTGTTAACCCGGAGGCAAAAGCCTCATCTGAAATTTTACATGTTTATGAAGGTATGTTGCCTTCTTCAGAGACTGTTATTCCTTCTGCAGCTTCTCCTTCCTTTATGAAGAGTGTCTTCAGTCCTATCTTGTTGCTCAGCCTTATCACCATGTGCGTCACTCAGCTGCGGCTCATCTTCTACATGGGAGCCATGAATACCATCCTTGAGTTTCTGTCTGGAGATGAAGATCAAGGTAGGGTAACCTGAAGACATTTATCGGCTTCCTTGGAACTGGGACCTGACCCAGACCTGGTCCTTGCAGCCTGATTACTCAGCAGATACACCATGTATGGCAATTAGTAGTGTCAGAGTGCAGCTGACAGCTGCTGGTAGGGTCTGGCAGAGGGCTGGAACTAGCCCAGGACAAAGGGGCAATGAGGTAGACACTTGAATGTCAAGCTAATTTTAGCCCAGTGTCTGTTAAATACTATTCCATGTTATTTCCCCAAATGGATTGTTGAAAGTAGCTTCTCAGGATGGACTGTGTTTGTTTGTTTGTTGTTTTTTTTTTTTTAAATTGGAAAACCTATTTCATCAGGTATTTTCTTTGATTATCCTAAGCAAGCACAAAGTACAGAGCAGCTGACTCATGACTGGTGGTTGGACTAGGTGTCTCAGCCCGGCAACCGGGGGTGGGAGAAGTGAAGTCATAGCTGTTTCGTGCAGCTTGGTGTGTGCTGGGGAGGCTCAGGGGCGCTCGCTGCGCTGGACTCGTATTTATAGCTCTGATTCAGTACATGGAGCAAACAGGAAAGCGTACATTAGTTTACTGTTGTTGAAAATACCCAGGATTGCAAAACAAGACTTGGCTTTTTTTTTTTTTTTTTTTTTTTTGTAGTAAGATCCAGTTTGAACTTGTTAAATCTGGATTGCATGAAGCTGATAAATCAAGAGGCACTCCTCTGAAAACAGGAGTGAGCTCTGGGGGAGGGAAGGGAACTCGGGAAACTCCTAGTGCCCTGGCATTCCTTGAATTGCTTTGTTTCTCGAGCCTTTGACAGCCCGCAGCATTCAGCTCTTTATCTCCTGGCTCAAGAGCCAATTCAGACGTTAAACAGTAAACAGGACAAACTTCACACTGCCTACCTTTCCCAACACAGCTTAGTTTTCTGCTTACCTTGTAACTCTTTCACATTGTGTTTTTTTTTTCTTTCTTTTTACCCTGGCTTACTCTAGTTATCTTTCACTTTCCTCTCCTCCCCTCCTTGGTATTTTAGAATTAATATTAACTATAATATGCTGCCACTTCTGTTTAGATCCATGTTAAATAAAGGATTTTGCCTGTTGGGTGCATTGCATTTTTTTCTGTGCCACCTTTAAAATTCCTTCCCATTTTCCCCCTCCTCCCCCTGAATGTAGCTTGGACTCTCAGTGCAGTCACTGTCTTGGTGTTTCCATGGCATCAGCAAAACAGTGGTATTGTCTAGTTGCAGCAGTGTCAGGCTGCAAGAGTCGTTCCAAGAAGTGTGTGGCTCTCTAGAAATGTAATCTGTGCAGATCACGAGAGGATGGGACTCTGCTCCCTTGGACTCCTCGTTCTTCTTGCAGTTATTTACTTGAAAGTGGTTTGTTTTAGAGAGCTCCTGAGAGCAGTTGCAGGTGGAGGGAGCATTCAGCAAGGGAAGAAGAGAGTTGAGTCAATTCTGCAAGTGTTATGGTCAAAGAAAATTTAAATATTCCTGGGACTAGAACAGGAGCGAAGGATGTAGGGAAAATTGTTCAAATAGGTAGTGAAGGCCTTAAGTTGCAGTGAGGCAATGTGTTCTTGAAAGTCGTTTCCTGTGCAGATTACAGTGACTTAGACCTGTCATGAAATCTGGAGGTGGAAAAAGCAGTCAGCCTGTGGCTACTTATCTTCTGCAAACCCCCCAAAAGTTGGGGGAGAAGCTAGGGAGTGCAGTAGCTCTGTAAATGGCTATATCATTGTGTTGTAGGAAGTCAGGAGAGAGTAGGCCTCTTGTGTCTGGAACTTGAAATTTGGCTGCATCTTTCATAAATTGTCTTGTTTTCAAATCTGGTAATACTTGGAGACCTTGGGTAGAATCTGAGTGGGCTGGAAGACTCAGCTGGATGAGGGGTTTGCTCAGGATAGTTTTGAGGGAAGACATGTAGAACCATGGATTTAAAGGGTTGTGCCCATGTATGTACCCTTTGTTTGCTCTATCCAGGCTTCTACTTCTGCTGGTACTTTCTAGGTACTGTTCTCTGTTTTTGTTTTTGTTTTTTTTTTCTTTTTCCCTCCTCAGGAAAGTTTTTTAAGATGATAGATAAATTGACAAGGCCCTGTTTTGTAGCAGCTACTGTCTGTCCTTCTTTTGCTGACCCTGTAAATTTCATTCCCTGCTTCAAGTTGGCTTCTGCTCTTGGTGTTTAGAGCCCAAGATTAAGTGTTCAGAATAGCATGAAGAGGCAAAACATGACAGCGTGGCTTGCTTCTTACCCTCTATTAAAAAATAACCAGACAACAGCAAATCAGCTCCAGGAGTGTTTGTAGAGGGTGATGCCACCTGTCTCTCTTGGCTACAGCAGTTGCTATAATGAGATGGGATGTGGAGCCACTTCGGGGCTTGCCTTTGCGGAGGTAATGGGGGCATGAATGTGAGGTTGGAGTTGGAAGTTTCTCTTGGTTCTCCTGCCAGCGACTGGAGCCAGGAAAGTATCATCAGGTGCCTGCTGGGCATAGCAAGGCAGCCCTGCTGGGGTTTGCTACAACTGTATGGGAGAAGGGCTTATTGGAAACTTCTCTCCATTACCAAGTTGATTTTGGTATAAATCCTGGCTGTACTGCTTTGGCTAGATCTCTAGAAATGTGTTGTGAGGGATGAACTAAAATTCTCTTTGGTTGTTTTGCTTACAGTGCTGTAACTTGTAAGCGCTCTGCTGAAACGGGCAGTTTCAGAATTACATCCTTCTTTCAGGGCTGTGCTACACCATGACTTGCCCTTCTGTGTGATGCCTTCAAATCCATCACATGGGCTGCAGAGAGGAAGTGGAAAAAGTATTGCAGGGTAGAGGAACCGTTCAGTAAAGGGAGGGGACAGGTTTTTTTTCTAGCATCAGCTTTCCTTTAGCAAGCCACGTAGACACTTCTCCCATCTTTAACACATGGGGAGTTTTCATCAGTTTGAGTTTTTAATAATTGCCCTCAAATGCTGTGCTTTTTGCTGTTCATCTTCACTCCCCCTGCCTCCCACACCTGTCTATTCAGCACAAAATATGTTAGTGCTCACCTTCTCAGCTTGGCTTGTCCTTGCTGGAGCTTCCCAGCTGGAGAAGATGTAGCTGCAGCTCCCAACAAGGCAGGAAAAGAGATGACTAAGTCAGGGCTGGCTGTTACTTGTAAGAACTTTCCCTGTTGGTGGTAGCCAGAATAAACCTCACTGACAGTAAGCAGTTGCTGGGTCCCATTTCTGGCACCTTACCTGCAGTTGGGCTGATGCTGCTTGGAGAATACTAGTGCAGGATCAGAATGGTTGAAGCAAGTGTGCCCAGTATGTCCCCTCTGATGTCATCTCTGGGAGGCTAAATTGATGAAGCAGGGCTTTGGTGTCCTTGTTATCTTGTGATACCTAGCCTCTGGGCTCTTGGTGGGGAGGAACAGCTTCTTTTCTCTCATTATTTTTTCTGTCACTGCTACAGTATCACTCGGACTTAAAACTCTTTAAATTTTTATTTTTATTTTTTTCCCCTGCAGTGGCTCTCTACACTTCCATTTTTGGGGTATTGCAACTGCTGTGCTTGCTGACAGCACCTGTGATCGGGTACATCATGGACTGGCGGCTGAAAGAATGCGATGATGGCTCAGAAGAGAATGAGGAGAGCAACGCTGAGCGGTGCGTAGTGTGCGCCACACGGGACATGCAGCCATGTAGCAGGCCTCCTGCTCTGCCTAAAGTGTTTTGTGATGAAAGACTGAAAAGAATATTGGTTCTTCAGTATAGAAAAGAAAGCCTGAAGGAAGACCTTGATAATTGCAGAGGAAAGGACCAAACTATCTTCCATGTCCGCTAAGATCAGTCAAGAAGAGAAAATTTAAGTTGTAGTAGAGGAGGCTCAGACTGCCCTTCTAGCCTAACAGTAAGAGTAACAGCACTGAAATAATTGCCCAGATGTTCCTCAGCTTTCACTGATGGAGACCCCACCACCTCATTGGGCAGACCTCTAGCCAAACTGGTTTAGACAGATTTGATGTGATATGTGGAGAATCTTGCTGTAAGTTCCAGTAGCTGCTGAAAGTGCTTGTTGTAACATAGGTTTTGCTATCCTTCCAGAAGTGACAAGAAAAAGAAAAAGCGTGATCGTCAGATCCAGAAAATCACCAATGCCACCAATGCCTTTGCATTCACCAATGTCCTGCTGGTCGGATTTGGAATCACCTGTCTTATTCCTAATCTACCGTTGCAGGTGAATATGTGAAATGGGTGGGGGTGCTGGAGGGGCTGGCAGTGTGGGTCCTGGCAAAATGGCAGGCAGGACAGTGCCGAGAGGCCCTGCAGGCCAGCAGAACCAGCTCGTGGCAGGGGGGATTTCTGGCATTGCTGGGAGACTCCTGTACTGCTTTGGGAAGCCCAGTCTTAGATATGAAACAATACCAGGCAGCTTACATCTCTTGAACCTAAAGAAACAGCTACAGTTAAAATATCAGAGTTGATCTACAATTTATTCACACTTAGAAGTTTCTGCAGCTGAGCTCTGTAACGACAAGTGCTTTCTACCAAGATCCTCTCACCAGTGCCTGTGCGTTTAACCTGGGCTCTTTAAACTGCTGAGGTTCAGAAAATTTGCTGTAAGAAGCATGACACTGATATATACAGGAGGTTATTTCTCCATCAGATGCTATGCCCAGTGGTACCTGTGGGACTGTAAACCTGTTAAAATATTTATTTTGTGGCACCACCTGTTTTTGGCAGAGGAGTTTAGTGATTTTATGCTATACTTAAACATGCCTTGATGACATAAACAAACATAGAGAGTTTGCTCGTGCTTGCGTATTGTCCGCAATAACTTGTGGAAAATTAACTAAATTGGCCTCAAGTGCAGTAAAAAAAGTATTGTGACCCTGGCCACAGGTTTCTGGGGACACGTCCTTGCAGCAGTTCCATCTGCAGATGAGATGGGTCTTGCGTGTGGTTAACCTCAGGCGTCACTACGTGTTAGCCGTTGCAGAGTAAGGGAAAGCAGTGCTTTTAGAGACGAGTACAAATTTCTTCCTTTGTGCTGATCTTTCAGGTTTTGGTTCTGGGTTCCTCAAGCCTAGCTGTGTACTGGAAAGGAAAACAGCTTTAGGAATGGTTGTATGTTGGGGTCTGGAATACCTAGGTGGTAACTAGGATGTGACCATTTTCTGCTTCTCTTTCCAGATTCTTTCCTTCATTTTGCACACAATTGTGAGAGGATTCATCCACTCAGCTGTGGGAGGCCTCTATGCAGCTGTGTAAGTCTCTGCTTACATATAATACATGGCTGGACAAATAAACTGGCTTGGGATGATAAGCTGTCCCGGTGAGAGGGAGATCAGGAAGTGAAGCCTTCATGATCAGAAGGGAAAGATGATGCAACTTGTTTCTGTGGTCACCGCTGGATACAACAGGAGCTGGACTGAAGTCCTAGCTGATACTTCCCTTGTTTAGAAGCAGCTCACCCATTTGGCGTAGCTGCTGCAGTGAGAGGCACAGCTATGAATGGGCCTCAGCTGAGACTAAGCTATTGACACTAAGGTTATATAGTAAGAACTCAAGGCTTTTTTTGTCTTGTAATGAGTAGCTATGTGTATGTGTCCAGGTAAAACATTAACATAATTGAATACATTGCTACTGGTCTGTTCTGAAATTACATTGCTAAAGCGTTGCTCAAGATACCATTCATGATGCCTACTCCCTTTCCCAGGACAGATCATCCATCCTGTTTCCAGCTTAGCAAAATTATCAATAGCTGAATCTGAATGCTCTTCCTTATTAAGCAACGCTTTTGGTTTTGAAAACAGATCTGCCCCTCTGTCCTGAGCCTGTTGGGCAGAGGAGCAGAAGGAAGCTGTTATCTTTCAGAGAATCACGCAATCACTGAGGTGGGAAGGGACCTCTTGAGACCATCTAGTCCAACCCTCATGCTCAAGCAGGGTCAGATAGAGCAGGGTGCCTGGGACTCCATCCAGTTGGGTTTTGAGTATCTCCACAACCCTACAGACTCCTGTCAGAGGTTTTGATCCCAGTGTCTGGGGAATCCAGACTAGAAAATCCATCTAAGACTCCACTTCAAAAATGCATAAACTTTTGGTTCCCTGGCAGCTTGAAGCAAAAGATTTTTGTCTTAGGCAAGGGATATGCCTGTTGCTGTAGATATCAGCTTGCTTGTGAACTAATGCTGTTTAACCATTGCAACTCCTGGAACTTCCTGGAGTTGAGGTATTTTTGCTTTGAATGTTGACTTCTTTGAATATTTGAAAGTTTTGATCTCCTAGTTTCTTTCCAAGCTTAGTTTAACCTGACCCTTTTTAAACACAGCTCAGTCAGGGTAAGAGAGATGTTAGACTGTTCCTGAAACTTATTTTTTCCACTAGTAGTATCTGATATTCAGCACTTTCCAATCAACAGTATTGTTTAGTTTGACATAGGATCAGACTTGTCCTCTAAAAAGGAAAACACATACTAACCTGTTGTGCAGGTTTCACTCACTTCTAAAGGGAGCAAATTGTTATGACCAGATGAAAATGATTGCTCAGCTGCAAATGTTGTCACCTGGATAAAGAGGCCCTGCTTTTAACTTGTAAATACCAACACTTCTCCCTTTGCAGTAGGGACAGTAGTTGTATAAGCACTTCCATCTGCCTATGGTACAGCTGCAAAACAAGACCTGGATCTGATAATTCTTCAGTTTGGGATAGTCTGGATATGAGGATAGTCTGGAGAGGAAGACTCCAGCCTTGTCACCAGCTGCATTCTGCTCTAGAGAGCACTGCACACACCATTGGGTATAACTAAATACTCTATAAAAAGAGGTAGTTGTGCATAAGTCCAGGAGAGAGAAGTTCTTCATAGTGTGCCTGTCTTGGGACTGTGTTCTGTTGTTAGTTGACTGGGAATGTAATCTGATCTGGGTGACGTGAACAGTCAAGGTGACACATAATAATGCTGTTGCTTTCTCTGTTGACAGATACCCCTCTACTCAGTTTGGCAGCTTGACAGGGTTGCAGTCATTGATCAGTGCCCTTTTCGCCCTTCTGCAGCAGCCTCTTTTTATGGCATTGACGGGACCTTTGGAAGGAGACCCTCTCTGGGCAAGTTCTCAAACTTAACATGAAAGCTTGGTGGATAAGATGATTTTAGCTCATTTTGACTCCTGTGCATGGACCAAGGTTAAAACCAGCTGGCGTTTTACATGCCCCTTAGTCTGCTGTTACCTTGGTGCTGTCCAGGAGACCCTTTCCCATTCTCTGGGAAGGAAAACCATTAGCCCTTGTACTGGTGTATGGAAAAGGAGGAATGGAGATGGCTGCAGGAGTGCTTTCTACTAAGTTTCTGTGGCGAGTCAAAATCTGTCAGGTGCAAGTGAGTCAGTCTGTGTGGACCTCAAAATGCAGTAGAAATACTGCTTCCTCGAGAGCTGTTGGCTCCAACTACCTGTAAATTTTGGGTTGCTGATGCCACTTGGCTTTCTGGACACTAGCTATTGAGGGTTAGCCTAATGTGGTGTCTTAGTGAGAGTCTGTCTGGGCAGCTCAATAAAATCATGGCATGGGTGGTCCTGGGGACAGTCCTGGACTCTGGGCTACATGTGCCCACCCCAGCAGCCTGTTGCTTTACAGTCAGCAAACTTGGTGTAAAAGAATTGTAACTTAGAACAGCCCTGCCTGTTCTGTGGAACAAGACTCCCGCAGCCATGATCCAGAGTGACAACCTTGCAGCATTCAGCTTATACATGTGGTGCTCTGGGCACAGGAGTGTAAATATAAATACAGTGGTGGTTGTTGCCAATACACTGAGCAGGGCGTCTCCTGGTTTGCCCACAGCTGAGTGACGTGGGCTGGGTTCTGACGCTTCAGCATGCGTGACTGGGTTGTTATCTTCTTGGCCTGCCTGATTTTTGTTTTGTCTTTCTTCCTCCAGGTGAATGTTGGCTTGCTTGGTGTGAGCTTACTGGGTTTTTGCCTTCCAATCTACCTGGTCTGCTACCGACGCAGGCTAGAGAGAGAAAAGAAACAGAAGATGGATGATGCCAAACTTTTCTTCAAAATCAATGGCACTCCCAATGAGGAAGCCTTTGTTTAAACTGGTGCTTCTCAAGTACAGCCTCCCCTGTACAGGTTCCTACCACATCCGTGGGTTCTACCTGTGGTGTAAAGCCAGGCTTTTTCTCTCCTGGCTCTGCCAGTCTTTGCTCATCACTGGAGTGAGGGCTGGACATCATGACTGAGCTTTCCTCAGATACGTGGCAGGAGGAGACTTCCCACTCCTTACTCCAGAACACAGGACAGTTTTCCTTTTTATAAAAGCCACGCAGATACTGTGTCTTAAATTATCCCCTGATCACACTCTCCAGTGGCAGTCTCTGCATAGGAAACTGGGGAGAGAAGGAATAAAGGGATGGGGGAAGAGGGAAGAAAGACCATAATTTGAGTTTGTAAATGTAGCACACTGAAGTCTGCTTTCTCCCCCTCTTCCCCTGACCTTGGCTGACATTGTCTCGGATGTGAGCTGCACTCTCCTCCCTCCCTCCCTGAGGCTTCATAATGGTCTTTCTGCTTGATAGGTAGCTGGACCCAGTGGTTTTAATGTCTATCCAGACATACCCCAGACTGTTTCTGCGGCAGGGAAGGGGATTTTACTCCTATGTGTATGAGCGCAGCTTCAGTGTATTGCTAGATGTTGGCTGCTAGCACTGACAGCTCCCAAACCTTTTATTATTGCAAACAACACAGACAGCAGTGGATCTGCCTTCCACACCGAAATGAAGAGTCTAACGGACTGCTTGGTCCTAGACCAAGCCTTCAAAGGCCCGGAATTCCTCCTCTTCCTGGCCTGCAAACCACCTGTACGTGTTTTTAAACTGTCTGCAGTCCTGGAACCTTTAAGATAGGAATTGGATCTTGTTTACCGATGAAGTGCTTTGAGACTTGTTGCCTTTTGCTGCCTCTTCCCTCCAACATGACTCCGGGAAGGGAGCAGCAGTGTGTAAAGTGGAGAACCTTCTTAAAGCTGAGTTCTGTGGCTCCAAATACCTTGGTGTTCACATGTCGTGAACTGACTTTCTGTTGAAAAGAATTGTGCAGAACACTCCTTTGTGTCTGGTAACTGGATCCTGTGGACATATGGCAGGGTGATGTGGTGATGTAATTCTTCCTCTAGCCATAGCTTATTTACATTGTCCTGATAATAGCCCCCAAGCTGCTGAACACCAGGTTACTGTGACTGACCAAAAAGCTGCCGGTTTGGCTGTACTAAGAGCCTTCTGCAACATTGATGCTCTGTCTGGACAGAGTATGTGGTGATTGTATGGTGACACTGACTTACAGAGCAATAGATGTGTATAAAGGTGCCCCAGGCTTGTTCACCATGGAGGGAATACAAAGGGAATTCTTAACCTGCTTATTTTTATAGAGGTTTTCCTAAGTCGTTTAAAGTTGACTTTTCAGCCCTTAACCTTGTTGAGGTCAGTAGCTCAGCCTCTGTAGCCTTGTGACTAAATCACTGCACTGCGTGGACCTGCTGGGAGCAGGACCTGTGCAGTGTTGAGGATGAACGTACGCGCGCTGGGCTGGGCTGAGCTAGTGGCTGCAGGAGGGTTGGGGGCAGAAATAAATCAGTTATGAAGATGGTAGTGGTGGTGCTCTCTGAACTGTCAGCTCCTGCATTACTGCAAAGCCTGGCAGGGGCTGAGTCATTCAACTTCTTTATGTCTGGTCGGAAAAGTGCAAGAGTCAATCGCTGCCCTGTTAGCTCTAAACTGGGGATTAGAAACAACAGTGCACACAGACCTTCATTTGAGAAATTACCTGGAAACTGGGCGTCGGTTCCTTTGCTGATGGTTTGAAGCGTGCAGACGCCCAGCCCTGCCAGGTCTTCACCTTCCCAGAAGAGCCAGCTCGGTGACCTGTTTCGCGGAGCCGGGGCAGGAGGGGCTGGCAGCCGGCGGGTCCCTGGCTGGTGGCCGCCAGCCCCGGGCAGCTCTGCGGGACAGCAGCGCCATCTCGAGTCACCGCCTCCGGCGGGCAGTTCGGGTGCCACTCCGCTCCACGGTACCTTCTAGTCTTCAGACACTCGTTTGGAAATGACTTGCCACTTGAGTATTTTACACATCGTGGATTTTTTTTTTTTTAATGTGTTGCCTTTATTAAATGTGTTTGTCCCAAGACAGCTTTATCGCCTGCTGTCAACACTTTATTCTTCTAGAAGTTTTTCTCTTTTGTTGGCCTCTAGCTTTGGTGATGATTTTATGACCTTCCCAGCTTTTCTTTCTTTTGCGTTGAGCAATAATTAAGGAGGCAGTTTAGATTAATTTTTGTGTTCACCTGGCATTTTCTCAAGTACATGTTCAGAGACCCACCAGCAGTAGTACAGCTTGCCTAGATTTCCAGAGGGCTTTCTGCAGGTTTCTGCATTTCGTATTACTATACTTCTAAATATTTTAAGAAGATTCCTACTCTTGCTCTGAGATATTTGTGACATGACAATGACAGATTAACTATCTTTTTTTAGTAAGAGCTCAGACAGGTGAGTGTCTGAGCCACAGTCCTCAGGCTCAGTGTCTTAAAATAGAGACAGCTGTTGGAAGGTGTCAGTGTGCTAACTCAGCATTGCTTCCACCTCAGTTTCAGAATACTGCATGTGATAGCTTCCACTCTTGTGTCACTCAAATTCCTGATATAAATGGCTTTGCAAAGTGGTGGAATACAGAGTGGCAGATTTTCCTGAAGTCACAGTGGAGGTGATGCTGCCTTTGCAGTACATGCAGCTAAATTAAAGAACGCCCTTTCATTCCTGCCATCTGCCTTCCTACTGCAGTTCCCTGTTCCTGCCCTTTATTAGGAATATCCTCTAACCCAGTTTCATCTGATAAAATGGTGAATATATGTGGTCGGTGTCTCCGCTGATGTGCCATGGTGTTTAGAAGCTGCTGGTCAGCTGTGGGGAATAGAGCTCATGCCTTCGATTCACAGTTTAAAGCTCTGCAGACGGAGAATAAAGCGTGCCTTTGGCTTGCAGGCACCAGGACTAGGGGGTGCACAAGGGAGTTTTAGTTGTTCGGAGTTGAACAGACAAACGGGAGTGCTTTCTCGTGCAGTGCCAAGTCAAACTAGAATTCACTGCTGCAGAACCTAGTGGGGAACATAAGTATAACTTTTCAAAAAGGGGCTGGTTAAACAATGGTCTGATGCATCCACTAACTCAGGGAGATTTTAAGTTGCTGTAAATAAGAAAGTTATGCCAACGAAAGATTACTGTTCTACATGTTCTGTCTCTTAAAAATTGGTCAACGATGGGAGAAAATACATGCTGGACTAGGCGAAACACTGCTCTGATGTTGTGGGGTTTAATTTACTCTGACAATTGTAAACCAAATTAATTTCAAAAGGAGTCTCAAATTTATCTAGCAAAAAAACCCTCTTATCTGTGTGCAAGATGTGCAAATACTCTACTGATTGTGGCATAACTGCTTAAATACCGCACCTCCTGCAGGGGTGAGCCCCTGGGAGGACAGGGTGTTCAGGCTTCAGCCTCTTCTAAATGTTGTCTTGCACTGTGCAAAAACAGACACTTGGGATGGTCCTGTTAGGCGTGATTGTTCATGGGCTGTTTGCCTCGTTCTTTGATCCTTTGGAGATGTAAGCGTGGATTACTTATGTTTGGAGCGGGAAAACAGCATTGCTGCTTTCTAGCCAAAGAATGCAGGACCAAGAAGATTCCTCATGTGCTCTTCTGTGTGCATGAGCCACCTTGTGGAAAAAATCAACGGGCTACCAAAGACCAAAGAGAGTCACATCGATTTAAATCAATAATGCATTTACCTGTATAGCTCAAATACAGGTCATTGTGTTTAACTTACTTTTGTAATTCTTAATGCTAGAATTTGTAGGGGTGTCTTTTATGCCTGTTGTACCCCCTTACCCTCATCCATATGAGAAGTACAAGGAGGCTGGTCATGAGAGAGACCTCATCTCCTCCACAGAGGCATCCCCAGCTGAATGTCGTGAAGCAGAAACCTCATCTGTGAGTACTTGCTGTTTGTAGGAGCCCTCAGTCAAGGATGTTGCTGTGTGGAGGTGCTTGCACCTTCTGGAAATACTGCTCCTGGCCTCTACTGACTTGCATGCATTTAATATGCATCCATATTTTTTAAAAAAAATATTAAAAAATTAGAAGAGTGGGCAAGGGAAGGATGACAGCTTCTTTCTTTTTACTGATCTGTTAGTCCCTAAGCCTCATCAATACAATCTTTATAGCTCCAATGCAATGATGCTATCAAGTAGCAGAGAAAATCTGTGCTGTTTTGCTTAATAGGACACTTACAACTTTATTCAGTTACTGTCACAGAGTATCTGGATCCTTGAGATGAAACTGGACACGGATGCCTGCAAAAAAAAAAAAAAAAAGCAAATCTTGCTGAGACTCCAACTTAACTGCAATGCTGCTACAGTGATCAAAATGTTCAACTCCCACAACAAAGCCTGGCCTCTTCATGCTATGCCTACAGTGGAAAATTGTAGGAGAATGAGATTTTAACTAAGTCAGTAAATCACTGAAATGTTTTAAAGTAGGAGATTTCTTTCTTGACAGGCTGATGAACTTGGAAAATATGCCACAAAATATAAAGCAAATACTGCAGGGTAAAAAGGATGAAATTATAATGGAAACTCGTATTACAGTAGGATTCCTGATGAGAAGGGACTGTGTGTTGGGTTTTTTGTTGTTTTTTTTTGTTTTATTTTTTTTTTCTAATTAAAGCTATGTCTGACTTGTATTTCACATTGTTATCTTTGGAATAGCTCTGAAACAATGATGTGTTATGTAGATGCATTATTACATGTTAATTATAAACCCTCCAAGTCCTTGTTTCTCTCCCAGTGCTGCCCAGCCTGTCTCTGCGCAGTGTTTTTATCAAGTGTCCTATGCTCCACGTTGTCATCGTTCCTGCTGCTGCTTGTCACTTCCTTGTGCCTGACCCTGTCACTTGCTTTTTACTCTGGGGAAAAAAAATCCCCTTTTTCAGAAAGCCCCCACTTAATCTGACAGCATTAGGGGGTCCTGTTCACAACATTTTTTTTTGTATTGTTTGTCAAAGTAGAATTGTAAGCCCCTTGCGCCCGGCCTGTGTCATCTTTTCTGTGTTTGTAAGGTGATGTGTGTTCTTGCAGTACTATCTAAAAATAAATGTGGTATTAAGTTAATCATTAGTTTTCTTTTTGAGGCTGAAAATAAAGGTATTGCTTGGTTCCTAATGAGACTATGTAAGCATGAATGCTATACATGGTGTCATCTGCCAAATTGCTTGGCTGCACGTCGTTTCCTTGACTCTTTCATCTCTAGGCTGGGAGCTAACAGCCAGATTTTAATGGATCTCTCACTGAGAAAATTTCGATCTCTTTGTTGTTCTCTTTAAGTATAGACAGCGGGTTAAGAGATCAAGGTGAGTTATAGTGAAAGGGTATCAAATAATGGAAGATGAACAACCCTAGCCTTACCTGGGAATGCTACAGAAGGATTGCAGCGTGGCAAGAGGCAAGCTGCACGTTTTGGGTTATCCATGCTTGAGCTTGGTGATGGTAAATGTATGGCGCTCCATTTTGCCCATCTAATAAAGACAACCCTTGATCTGCGATTCCAGTGACCAAGTAGTAGAACTAGTGTTTTCAGCTGTTTTTTGGGGGTTTTTTGTTTTTTTTTTTATTGAGTACGGGTCCCATAAAAGGGCTTTTTTGCAACTGTCTTCTGATAAATAACTAAGCTTACCGTCAGTTCGGGGGGCCTGCTGCTCAGCAGTACTGAAAAAGAAAACGCTGTAAATCCCGACCCGCTGCGGGAGCCGGTGGAGTCGAGAAGGGTCAGGGAGAGGTTAACGGTTCGACGAGCGGATCTTCAAGGGCTCATCCAACCGCGGTGTGTTGGCGGAGCCGCACCCCGAGCCGCCCTCACCCTGACAGTCCCCTCCTTTGCCAGCCCTCCTCCTCCCCAAGCGTGTCCCGAGCCCCGCGGAGCTGGGGGGGGTGTGGGTGTCCCTCAGGCCGGGATGGCGGGATGGCGCCGAGGGCGACGCTCGTTCCCGCCGCCGCGGAGGGCGGGAAGGCCTCTCTCGCGCGCGCGGCGCCGGACGCCTGCGTGGCGCCGTGACGCAGCCGTTGCCGCAGAAACGCCCCGCCCC